GTTTGAGCCACCTGCGCGAGAGACAGCCGCGGTCAGACCTCGCCAGCCTGAAAACCGGGCCCCGCGCAGCCCCGTGCCTGTCTGCAAATCCCCATCATCCGCTGATCTAGAGGGCTGGGCAGGCTCTCGGGGCGGGGGGTGTGTGCGCGTGGGTGTGTGTGTGTCAAGTTTCTGGGCAACGATCTGCGCTTGTTGTAGGCAACAGCGCTATCGGGTTTGGTGCCAGGTGGAGGTACACCTTCCGGGGACAGCCAGAGGCCACAGCCGGACGGAGAGCCGCCATCCAGCTCGGGTGGCGGGCCTCATCCCGACAGCACCTTTCAACCTCGGCACCAGCCTAGGTCTGCCCCCAGAGCCTCCAGCCTAGGCCTCACCTGGTTGCGGTCCAAGCCTTTGGCCACCTTGGCGTTGTGGTCGCAGAGCTCGGCCAGGGGCCTGCCGGCCAGCGCGTACTGCTTGGCGGTGTGCACGAACCAGTCCATGCTGCCGCTCTCCACGTCTGTCTCGAAGACGCTGAGGGCGCTGGAGGAGGAGATGTACTCGAACTGCTCCGTGGGGTCCAGCTTGCGCTTGAAGAAGATGGGGTGACGCCGGTCCCCGATGTAGGGCTTGCGGTTGGAGTCGGAGGAGATGAGGCTCTCTTTGGCGGCGAAGGCCAGGTCTCCGTAGAGGCTGTAGCACAGCCCCTCGGGGTTGGCCCGGTCGATGGGCTGGCTGGCATCCTTGAAGATGTGCTGGTAGAGGGTGCTGTCCTTGGAGCCCGACAGGAGGAAATAGGGGTCGTGGAGGTGACGCCACACAATGCCCGTGGTGACGTCCTTGTGCTCCTCAAACATGGCGGAGGGGATGAAGGGACGCCGTACGTCCCAGACGTAGATGTTGTGGTCCACCATCATGGAGCAGGTGGCGATGTGGTGCTTGCACTCCGGGCGCCACTTCACCCGGGCCACGGAGGCGATGGTCTGCACGCAGTAAATCTCCTTCGCCCGCGTGGTGTTCATGTCCCACACCTTCACCATCTTATCCCGGCCGCCTGTTGCCAGCCAGCCCCTGGGAGAAGGGTGGAAAAAGACGGTGAGACGCCAGCTCCGGCCAGGATCCGCGCCCGTTCACCTCTCCTTCCCCGCCCCGGCACAGAAACGCTCACAACACAGATGTGACCGCGTCCACGCCAAGCGGAGGCAGCCGGGCCGCAACTGCATCCTCCCACACGCTACCCTAACGCCCCCGCTCTCCAACAACCAGGTCAGGCAACGCCCCCTCCTTCCCGCTCCCGTTTCAGGCCCTGCGTCTTTGGACCCACGCTCATCTGAAGGGCTCCCAGACAGACACAGTTCCCCCCCACCCCTGGTTTCCACTTGCCAGGGACAGCAGAGAGGAAAAAGGCCAGTTTGAACCTATTTCAGTGCCTCCCTAAGCTCGTGAGGAGTTGTGGGGCTGCCCGGCAGGGAGCGAGGGAGGGACCCGCACACCACAACAACTGTTTCCAGACGCACCCCGACCGCCCCCGGGGAAAGGCAGGAGGGAAACGTGATCAAACACAAGCAAGCCACGTCCCCGAGCAGCCGCGCAGAGCCTGTTCCCGGGCTGAGCCCTGGAGCGAGAGGCCGCCCTGACACGAGGGGCAAGACAGCAGCTTGCTATACCCCGCCATTAGCAATCCAGCGCCTCAGGATCCCCCGACTTGTCAAAAAACAACCCCAAAACACCTCAACACCCCCCCCCCAAATCCTCAAAGTAATAATTGCTCCCCCCTCCCCAGCCCCTGACACAAGGGGCCGGGGTATCAGAGACCCTGCTTTCCCCCCCCCGGTAAGGTCCCAACCCTGGTTTTAGGGCCTCCCTCGTCTCTGCCGAGGCCGGGCAGCTGGCGGGGTCCGGCCCCGCACACACCTGTCCTCCGGGTGCCAGTCGCAGCAGAAGACGGGCCCGTTGTGGGCCGTGAACATCCTCTCGTAGCGGTCCGGCCGGCGGATGTCCCACAGCTGCACGTTCCCGTTCTCAAAGGTGGCGGCGAAGGTGAAGTAGTCCCGGATGCTGAACTGGACGTCACGCACGCTCTCCGACTGGCCTGAGCGGGGACAGGAGTTGAGAGCCGGTGGGACAGAGCTCAGCAAAGCTAAAAACCCCACGGGAAGAGCCGCGGGGGTTCCCACCCAGAGAGAAGGGGAAGCAGGGAGTGATGCGGCCACCTTCCACCTCCCGTGCAGGCTCAGCGCACTGCCGAGCAGCCCCAAAAAAAAAAAAAAAAAGCAGCAAAATGCCTCTCGGCTCCCTCCCTGCCCGCTCCAGGCATCGCGCCCTGAGCAAACCCTCCTCCCAGGGACGGGGAAAGGGCAAAGCCCCCAACCCCTGCCTCTCGCCAGGGTAGCGGGGCAAGCAACAGCCCGCGTTCGTACCGGAGAAGGTGCTGACAGAGTCCTTCTTGCGCAGGTCGAAGCATTTCATGTAGCCATCCTGGGAGCCGCTGAGGAGCATGTAGACCTCGGTGGGGTGGAAGCAGACCTTGTTGACGGTGCGCTTGTGCTCAGTGAAGAGCTGGTCCTGCTTGTTGCGGGACGGCTTGCCCAGGTTCCAGGTGACGACCACGCCGTTGGTGGCGGCGGTGGCCAGCAGGTTCTCGTCCATCTGGTGCCACACCACGTCCGCGCAGCTGAAGTTCAAGGAGGGTTTGCGGCCGACGCGGAGGTTCAGCTTCTCCACAAATTGGTCCTCCTCGATGGAGTAGATCTTGAAGATGTTGCGGCCGGCCACCACCACCTGGGCGGCATCGCGGCACACGCTGATGGCATTGGCGGGGGCATCCAGGTGGCAGAACATGGTCCGTCCCGTGAGGGCATTGCCCCCCAAGGCAGTGGTGACCCTGGCCATCTTCTCCATGGCCGTCCGTGGGGCGCACTCCCCTCTCCAGGAGCAGGCTCGGAGGCTCGCGTCCCCGCAGGCTGCATTCACGCTCGCGCGG